GGTTGGGCGAGTCCTTGAAGGCGTCGTCGTCGGCCTCGAAGCCCTCGTCGACCTCCTCCTCGGGGTAGGGCTGGCTGAAGTTGAAGGTGGGCTTGGCGCCGCCCTCCGCAGGGCCGCCCGCGCCCGCGCCCGCGCCCAGCGAGCGCTCGATGTCGCGCACGCACTCGTCGATCTCGTGGAAGTTGAGCGCGGCGAGGAAGTCCTGCGCCGCCCGGCACGCCTCGTCCTCCAGCCGCCGCAGCTCCTCGTCGCGCAGCTGCTGCAGCTTCTGCAGCGAGGCCTGCGTCAGCGACAGCTCCTGCCGCTCCTTCATGCGCTGCAGGTCCTCGATCTCCTTCTCCAGGCGGAGGATCTCCTCCACCTGCTTGTTTTCCTTCTGCTTCTCCAGGTCCCGGCTGAGCTCGGCCTCCCGCTGGCTCCTCCGCGCGGCGTCCAGCTCCTGCCGCTGGCGCTCGGCGGCCTCCTGGAGAGAGGAGGGGGCGCCCCGGTGAGTGACAAAGGGACAGGCAAAGGGACAGGCGCAGCGCCGCCTCCGCCGGGGGAGACGAGATGCTCTCGGCTAACCCTGGGGCCCCACCCCCTCCGCAAGCTGGTATGTTCAAGCTATATCCCCCACTGAGCCTCAGTATCTGTGCTTTTATTTTTAAATATGTCTATTGATTTTAAGAGAGAGGAAAGGAGAGGGAGGGAAAGAGAGAGAGAGAGAGAAACGCATCAATGATGAGTCATTGATCGGCTGCCTCCTGCACACCCCCTACTGGGGATCGAACCCACAACCTGGACATGTGCCCTGCCGGTAATCTAACCCCGAGCTCCTGGATCCTAGGTAAATGCTCCACCGCTGCGCCACCAGGGCAGGGCAAGGAGACAGAGCCTTTAAAGAGGTGATTACGTTAGAATGAAGTCGGGAGGTGGGGGCTAATCCAATCTGACTGGCATCCTTGTAAGAGGAGACTGAACACACAGGGACCCTGGGGTGCACACAGAGATGGAAGACCACGTGACAACCCAGCAAGAAGGTGGCCACCCGCGAGCTAAGGAGAGAGGCCTCAGAAGAAACCAAACCTCTGGACATCTTGATCTTAAGACTTCTAGACCCTAGAATGGTGAGAAAACCAATTTCTGTTGTTTAATCCGCCCAGGCTGTGGTGCTTTGTCATGGCAGCCTGAGCAAACTAACACAGGGGTTATGTCGGTGTAGAGGAATTACGCTGTCATGATCCACAGTAAAATCTTAGACATGCACTCATTTTCCCCCAGTTGCAGTGGGTTAGCAATTGCACCATAAACACCTCCTCTCATGTCCTTCCTACATCTCTATACTTTAGCTTTGAATCCTGAGTCAAAGTGTTTGAAGTGAGAAGGAAACGGACAGACGAGATGCCATACTGTCACTCCATTTGTCACCTGCTGGGTGCGGAGCTCAGCTTCTCTTCGTGCCTTCTCTCTTTCTCTAAAAACAGTAAAGAAAAAAGACAGTGAAAATAAACAAACACAATGAAAAAAAATCCCAGAACCACTTGTCAGAGCAAGCTAATTCTCTCTAAAAAACTTTGCTATAGACAACTTAAAAACATGAAGGATGGGGCCTCTTCTGCAGCAATATATTTATTCTGTGCATAAAATAAAAACACGCACAGAACTGGCCCCTCCTCAGCGCTGCCAAGGAATTTTACATTGGAGCCACCAGAAGCTACTGTTTCCAATAGCAGGTTCGGCAGCATCCCCTGGGAACTCCTGCTGGGAGGATGGATACTGAACCTAAAACTCAAAAGGTGTCCTGTGTCCTCCGGGCCAGAGAGGCGCTGTACCTTTCCTCTTGCTCCCGCCTCCTCTGTTCCTCTTGCTCCCGCCTCCTCTGTTCCTCTTGCTCCCGTCTCCTCTTTGCTTCCTCCTCCCGCTTCTCGGCCAGCAGCTGCCTGTAAACTCGCCGAGCCTTCTGGCCTCTGAGTTGCTTCTGGAAAACGATGGCTGCTTTTCTCAGCAGCAGAAATCGCCTCCTCAGAAGGAATGCTCTGTAATTCTTCTGTATCATCACCACGCAAGAAAGGACCTTCCTGTACTGCTTTCTGAAAACAAAAACAAAAACACAGCACAACAGAATAACTGTCGAGGTAATGAGGTTTCAAGCTCTTCCCATGTGTTTCCGTTATCGCCACAGACAAAGGAACAGGACCTGGGTCGGGAAGATGCTCTCATTATAGAGTCCGGAGTGCACAGAAGGCCCCTTTGGGCAAAACAAAACAGAAGAATAACAAAAGAATAATAACAAACGAAAGTAAAGCAAGAATCCTATCATGATCTTGGCTAAAAATAAACATAGAACCCCTAATGCCGACTTTGAGGAGTTTTGGCAGGAAGTTGGGTTGTAAACAGGACCAGAAGAGAGTTTACATATTCTCCTGTTCTTATGAAGGGAAAAAAACCCCACTCACCACAGTAGGACAGCTTTGGACTGGAAAAAATTTAGCAGTGTGGGGTTTTATGTGGCATGCTGGTCGGCAGAGGTGGACAGAGCTCAAATGCACATGAAAAGAAGCTGCCTTATTTGGCAAACACTGAAGGGTGGGCCTCTGTGGACCTAATGAGACACCAATGTCAGCAGCCAAAATACCCGTCAACAGCCAGGTTGCCTCTGGCTTCAGTACTCAAGGAAGATGAACCTGGGAAGCAATTTAAGTATCTCAGTACAGTCCCCTGATAACACTGCTCTAACTGAGACACTGGGAGCCCCCTTTCCTACTTTCTGCCCAGGTCAAGCTAAGTAGGCATCTGGCATCGCCAGTTAGGAGCATTGACCTAGGACTCTCCTTAGCCTGATCCTAACCCTCCATCCAGGTCTACTTTAAGGAAAAGCAATCGACCAGCCTCCCCCACCTGATGGATTATACTGGGGAAGGCCACATGAAGCTTAATGCCTTCTCCCCTCCGATCCTTCTTACCGTGCCAAGTAGCCCATGACGTGGGCCCGGATCACCATGGCCGCCCGGGTAACTTCCTCCTCCCGCAGCTTCTCCAGTTTCTGCTCCAAGGATTCTCGAAGGAAGACCTGCCCAGGAGGGAACAACATGTCAGAACCAAAGATCATGACTGGTAGAAAGAAGGAATCTCTGAGTCACAGATATTTTATGGGATTAGGCCTTTTTTCCCCTCTCCTTAAGTTTGCTCTAAATACACATAGCCATGCTTTCCAGCCCAGTGCTTCTCCACTCCCTGTGGGAAAGGGCCGTTGTTTTTATTTTTTTCACAGAGGAATAAATTAACATTATGTTAGTTTCAGGTGTACATCATGATTCAGTATTTCTACTGTCAAGGAGGGAAAACTTTCCTCCCTACCCTTCTTATTTCTTTTGGCTGATCTAACAATAAACTGGCTCAAAACAGATTAACAGGACAAAAACAAATATAATTACGTCCATATGGAGGTATCACAGAAAGGGGCCCCGAAGTGACCAGAGCAGGCTGCTTAGATGCCGGTGTTAGACAGAAAAACAATTACTCCTTAAGATTAGACAAAACAAAGGGGTTTGTGTTTGGGGCAGCGAACTAATGAATTAACAAAGTTTCTTCAAGTGGCTTTCTCAGCCTTGACTCCCCCTCTCTGGCGATAAGGATACCACTGTCCTCCTCCTGCAGGGAGGACACTTTCACACGGGAGATTCACGCCCTGCTCTCGGGGGGCAGTGGGGGAGGAATCAGAGTGCCTCTTTTTGTATGGCTGTTTCTTAAGTAGCTTTGATTTAAAATAATCAATATGCCACTGTGGTATGCTTTGCGGTGGCCTGTCCTCAGCCACCATGGTATACATTACAAAATGATCACAGTAAGTCTAGATAACATGTGTCACCATACACAGGTACAAATACTTTCTTGTGACGAGAACTTTGTACAATATAGTAGCATTGACTACAGTCACCATGCTGTGCATCACATCCCCATNCGTCACCATACACAGGTACAAATACTCTTTCTTGTGACGAGAACTTTGTGCAATATAGTAGCATTGACTACAGTCACCATGCTGTGCATCACATCCCCATCACTTATAACTGCAAGTTTATACCTTTTGACCCCTTCACCCACTTTGCCCACCCCCACCTGTGGCAACCACCAACCTGTTCTCTGTATGTATGAGCTTGGGTTTGGTTTGGTTCTTTAACCAACCCTTTGGTTTAGATCCCACAGTATTTGTCTCTCTTTGCGTGGCTTATTTCACTTAGCACAATACCTTCAAGTTTCATTCAAGTTGCTGCAAATGACAAGACTTTATTCTTTCTTACCGCTGGATAATGTTTCAGCGTGTGTGCATATGTGTGTGTGCGTGTGTGTGTGTGCGAGAAACAATTTCTTAGTCCATTCATTGACTGGTGGACACAGGTTATTTCCCTACCTTGGCTATTGTGCATATATTTTTTTGAGTTAGTTNGGCTGGATAATGTTTCAGCGTGTGCGCATATGTGTGTGTGCGAGAAACAATTTCTTAATCCATTCATTGACTGGTGGACACTTAGGTTATTTCCCTACCTTGGCTATTGTGCATATATTTTTTTGAGTTAGTTAGTGCTTTTGTTTTCTTTAGATAATACCCAGAAGTGGAACTGCTGGATTATATGGTAGTTTGTTTGAGGGACCTTCATACTGACTTCCATAGTAGCTGCAGCAATTTACATTCCCACTAACAGTGCACAAAGGTTCCCTTTCTCCACATCCTTGCCGACATTTGTTATCTCTTATCTTTTTGATAACAGCCATTCTGACTGGTGTAAGGTGGTACCTCATTGTGGGGTGGTTTTTTGGTAGTTTTTTTTACATTTATCTGATGATTAGTGATGTTGAGCATCTCTTTTCATTACCTGTTAGCCATCTATCTATACATCTTCTTCAGAAAAATGTCTATTCAGATCTTCTGCCCATTTTTAAATGAGATTTTTTTTTTTGCTACTGAGTTGTATGAGCTCTTTATATTAATTTGGAAATTAACCCCTGCCCGGCCGGGCGTGGCTCAGCAGTTAAGCGTCGACCTAGGATCCAGGCGATCAGGGTTCGATTCCCGGTCAGGGCACATGCCTGGGTTCCGGGCTGCAGCCGATCAATGACTCTCTCATCATTGATGTTTCTAGCTCTCTCTCTCCCTCTCCTTTCCTCTCTCTGAAATCAATAAAGATATATTTAAAAAAAAAAAAAATTAACCCCTTATTAGATATGTGATTTGCAAATATTTTCTCCCATTCCACAGGTTGCCTTTTCATTTGAATGGTTTCCTTTGCCGTGCAGCCTTTTAGTTTGATGTAATTCCATTTGTTTAATTTTGCTCTTGTTGCCTACCATTTTTTTAAACTTTTGATCTGTCATAGACTAAGATATTTGTAAAATATAGTAAAAATTTTTTACTAGAAAGAAAAAAAGGATATATAAAAAGTCTCATTTTACGATTATTATTAGATTCATCAGGCATAAAAGGACTGTGATATTGTTATAAAAGTTTATGAATACTCATCATGGGCCAGGACAAATAGTTCATGGACTAGCACCAGTCCTAAAATAAGTGTAAATAACAAGAAATACAAAGATACTCCCCCTGCATTAAGAAATAGAGAGAGAGAGGAGAGGGAGAGGGAGAGAGGAGGAGGGGAAGGAGGGAGGGAAGGGGAGGGAAAGCTAAGAAATTTGCAAAATGTTCTTTGTTATCACATGTAAATCCACTCTTCATGCCCATCTTGGCTTCAAAAACTTTAATGCACATAAAAAAGTTGACATTAAGAATGTGAGTCTGAAAACTGACTTTGAAATCAGAATTGAACCAGGTGAGCTACGCACCAGTTCTGCCCTCACGAGAATATCAGAATCGGGACTAAGTAGATTACAGCTAATTGCTGGCCTGCTTCTGGGAATGGGCTCCTTAATTCTATGCTTGTCAAATAAGAGAAGTGTGTCTGATAACTGGCACTTTGTACCAGAATTCCTAACTTTTGAAAAAATGTTTTTGAAAAAAATAACCCCTCAATCAAAATAGCTTTTAATTATGCAACTTCAGATTTAATGCATGAATAAGTTCTGAATTATTCCCTAAAAACCTAGTGCCAAATATTACTATGCTTTCCTATGTTACCATGTGGGCATTTTGGTTGAGGGAGGGAGCTGAATGACACGCTCTCTCACTCATGATTTTTAAATTTATGCTGTGATTCATCCTGGTCTGTCATGATGCATTATGTTCTGTTGATGGCACATTTTCCCTAGACTCTGATCTGCCTCCTCCAAGACGTTTGGGCAAAAAAAAGGAAATAAAGATTCCTACCACCTGTGACCCACAGCCTTACCTACTCCTGCCCTGGGTTCCCAAGCATGTATAAAACTGCCACGATAATTCTCCTACATAGTTTTCCCTATAATCTTCTTCCTATAATTGCAGAAATTACCAGAAAATCTAGAGGTTCATCAGAGGTTCAAGGCTTTAAATGCAAAGACCTCCTGGAGGCAATACTTACTGAAACACACACTAATGTATAATCAAGTCGAACGCTGGTCGGTTAATGTCAAAGCTATTTAGTGCACACAACTCAAATACTCTGTTTATATTTACTTCCTAATGTGTCTGTGAACTGGTAAGTTTCCTTCCTACTTCTCTTTCCAACTTTTTACCAATTATAATTTAAGTCTTCTTTAAAGATTTCCCCTTTTTGACTACTTCCCCGATCATCTCAATCCATGGTGAGCTCTCTCCTGGAAAACTGTGTTCTTATTCTGTAAAGAGATTATAATGTAGGGTTTTTCAGTTGTATCTGGATGTCTTATCCCTCAGCAACAAAGTACACCGAGGGCAATGCCCATGCCTTTATGTCTCTGTATCCCCTGTGCTACGACTGCTCCCAAGTCTTGCTTGGGCCTGGTTTCCATAATGAAAGTTGTAAGTGAAGGTGGACTGAATTCTCAGAGCTCAGAAGAGACTGTCACTGGCTAAGTCATAATGATCTTGGATGTTACTCCGCTGTAGAAAGCAGTGAGACGGAAAGAAGATATCAGTTTATAGAAAGCCCTTCTTGAGTTGAGTAAACGTACGGCACCCTTGTTCAATGATTGAGCTCCTACTATGTGCAGTGTGTAGAACAAACAAATAACTCAACATTCTCCATTGGGGGACTGCAGAGAAGTCAACAGGCATTGACAAGATATTACAACAGGGCCAAAAATAGGGTGATGTGAGATGACATAGGAGGGCCTTAACCCAGTTTTGGGGTAAACTTTTGGGATGGGGTGCACTGAAGAATGTCCGAAAGGATTCCTGTCCAAGTCTACATCTAAGTCCATACCTGAAGGATGAGTTGGGCTGAATTAGGAGGGGAAAGAATTCCAGGTACAGAGACCCATAAACCTGTGAGGACACATCGCAAGGTGACACCCGATGAGATATACCCATTTACTCTGACCAGTGTGCGCAGAACTTGTGAGTTCCCTCTAGCCCACGGAACATGGCAAAGGTGATGGGATGTCACTTCTGTGACTACATCACGTTAAGACTCCATCTTAGGAAACTGGAGCGAGAGATTCTCCTGCTGGCCTTGCAGAAGTGAGCTGCCATGCTGTGGGAGGGTGAGGGAGGGGGTCATGTGTTAAAGACCTGGGGGTTGGGGGGGTATCTAGGAGCAGACAGCAGCCCCAGGTGGCACCCAGTAAGCCAACAGAGTCCCTGAAAACTCAAGGACTTCCATTTGGAAGACAAAAGATTATGCCAGGCACGATCCCGACAGTACCGTTTCCAATGTTAAAAAACAAGTGGTCAGCAGGACCACAGAACACTGAAGCCTGTGGCATCGCCCTGACATGGCCCAGGCGCTGGCGGGGCTGTTCTGTCCCTGTGACTTTACCTTCGTCTTCCCCAGCTGCCACTCGCTGTGGCAGGAGTCGTAGAGCTGCAGCAAGGCCATGCACTTCCCCCGGTCGTCCTCAGGCACAGCCGCGTTCCGCATCAGCACTTTATACCTGCAACGCAGAGGGGCAGCGTCACCTTCTATTCTCTTCCCACTCCCTTTGAAAAAGAAGTGGATTTATTCAGCTCCGTCTTGCCTTTTGTAAAAATCCTGAAAGGGTCTTCGGACAGCATACCCAGCCTTGCGGATCCTCACCGTCTCCAGCATCCCCGAGTACCGCAGCTGGTTTAGCACCACCGCCTGGTCAAACTGGTCTGGCATCTGAAACATGCGGAAGGTGAGAAGATAAAGTTAACAAGGCCACCCACCACTGTTGCACGCACACACACACACACACACACACACACACACACTGAACCCACACTAAAAAAAACTCAGAAGGTGAACCCCACACCCAGGCACCCATCACCTAGCTTCAATAACCAGCACCCCCTGTCAGTTCTGCCCCATCCAGCAGCCCAGTTACTCCTGTCCTTGGATTTCTTTTGGAGCAAGTCCCAGATATCACACCACCTCATCATCTGTAAATGTATCATCATCATAATTTTTAATATAACTATACTACCATTATCATCTCTTAAAAGATACCAATAATTCCTTGATATTAATATCTGTTTCAATTTCTGATTGTTTTACAAACATCATAAATATACCACCACATTTAAATCTGTTTTCCAAAGAACCTAAAGCGCCATACAAATATCACTTTATTTACTTTTTAAACTTCAATTTCAAGGCATTTAAAGACTTTTTTTAGCTAAAAAGTACAATGACCCAGCAGGGGGAGGGGATGAAGGTGGAAAAAAAGGTCAAAAATGAAGGAGAATTTTAATTTTCTCTATTTCTAGTCAAACACCACATTTATGGAGCGCTTCATACCATGATCACTAAATAAATTAATCCCTGAACATGCAAATTAAAAACAGAGGAAATCAAACCAAGACTTAACATTCTGAAATGTACTCCCTTATCCACTCAATTGCCAAACAAACTGGGATTGCTCACAGGACAATAAGTCTTTCAGAGTAAAGCCCAAAAGTAGGCCACTTCCCATTCACAGCTTTGTGGGCAGTGACTTGTTTTTTAATTCAAATACCCATTCCCTTTCATTAACTGGAATTTTGTTATCCTACACAACTGCGTAAAAAATGGCTGAAAAAATAGTGCCATGGGCTATAAGTACACTGTCTAAAAGTGCAAAATATGGAAAGTGGCTCAAATTTGTGAGCTATAAAAACATAGTTGGTCATTAACACAAAATTAGGCTGAAAGCCATGTTATTCTGTACACTTTCCAAACTAGCATAAAATAAACTTCAAGAATGCTTTGCAAGTCTCCCCTACAGCTTTTGATAGAATAGCTGCCCTCCCATCATCTCCAGCAGGCTGACTTATATTTAATCTCTTCTGCAAACACTGGTCAAATTGTCTGTACTCAGCAGTATTCTACCCGAGGATAGCCAATAAATTAGGGCAAACATCCCAAGAATTGTGGCTCACAGGTTTTTAGTCTTGATTATTTCAAATATCCTTAGAAAAGTAGGAAAAACATAAAAGCAGGAAAACAAAATTACCCTTGGTTGCTGTTCTACCTTAATATTTGGATTAACAAATGGAGAGAGGCAGTTGTACTGACGGTATTTGGTTAAAATGCTTTTTATATTTATTTCGGAATATAATCTGACTAGCATAGAGCTAAACAAAACAAACACCGAATAAAGCATCAGATTTAGTCAACTTCGTTAAATTCACAACCAGAGAAACCTCCTAATTTAATATGTAATCATTTGACACTTTTTAAATAAAAATTCCCTCTCAAGCTTTCAGCATGCCTGACCCATCTTTGCCTTGCCTCTTTACATTTTCCAATCTCTATTTAACAAAGTCCGTCCAATTGCTGACTCCGGCACTAGTTATTAAAACATTCTAAAATAGATTGCTTAAAGGGATGCCCCATCCAGAAAGTTCAGCCCCACTCACCATCTTCCAGCCTCTCCGAGGAACATTCCACTTTCAGTTTGGCTCTGGGGCCAAAATTCATATGGAAAACAACTGCCACACTGACCTTTTCGCCACAGCTAAAGACACTGAACAATAATGAACACCATTCCTGTGCTTTAAAAAGTGCTCGGTTGCCATGACAACCCCTGCCATTCTCGGCCTAATTAGTGTGGTGTGGTTGTAGGATTTCATATGGCCCAGGGAGGGGTCGGGGGCAGGGAGGGAGGGAGCCACCGGCAGTGGCCGCTCTTTCCAGGCGCCTACTGCGATTGTGTTTCTGCCCCTTCCCAGAAACTTAACCAGGGGCAGGGGGATCTATAGGCAGATTGTCGCCAGGGGCAACCCACGCTGCCATCATGAAGGGGGTAAGCCTGTATTTCCACTGGTGGTTCTCTCCGGAGTTCCCACTTCCTTTCCTGGTGAATTTAGTGCTCAGAGATGACACAGCTGGAGACTGGACAAGCCACAAACTTAAAGGCATGCTGCCCTTTAAAACTTCGCGGGTGCACTGGTCTTCGCTGGTAACTCGCTCCCCAGAACTGGAGTTCACCCCGCAAAGACTGCCCGCCGTGTGCTAACAGTGGAGTTCTGACGGTGACAATTAGGGTGAATTTTGGAAGTAACAGCCATAAACCAGGGCAATTATAGTCCCAGGAGTCTGGTCTTAATCCACTTACGGAATCACTAAATTAATAAACACCTCTGCATGCAAGGCTCTGTGACTCATGCTCCGGGGAATTAAAAACCAGGTGGGGGCTAGATTTTTTTTTTTCTTTAATCAACATCCTCCACCAACTCGGAACATTTGTTGTAACTGATAAACCTACACTGACACTGTTATCGCCCAAACTCCATAGTTTACGTTACACTCTAGGTTTTGGTGACTGTATAATGACATAAAGCCACCATGAGTGCCATTCAGAGTAGTTTCACTGCCCTAAAACCCTCTAAGCGCTGCCTGTTCATCTCTACAGCCCCCCAACTCCTACTAACCTCTAATCTTTTCACTGTCTCCATAGTTTGTTTGTAATCTTCACCCAAGGATATGTTTATTGATTTTAGAGTGAGCGGAAGAGAGAAAAGGAAGGAGGGAGGGAGGGAAAGAATCATCGATGTGAGAGAAACATCGACTGGTTGCCTCCCGTATGCTCCCCAACCCTGGACTGAACCTGCAACCCAAGTATGTGCCCTGACCGGGGATCAAATCCACAACATTTTTGGTGTACTGGATGACACTCCAAACCACTGAGCCACCTGGCTGGGACTCCATAGTTTTTTGTTTTGACAATTTTTTTTTAACAGTAGTTTTAGGTTCACAGCAAAATTGAGAGGAAGGTGCAGATCCCCACAACCCCCTGCCTCTGTACACTGCATATAACCTCAGAGGGGCTGGATTTTGTTTCCAAGGACCCTGAATTTGGATGGTGATAGGTACACCAAGCACTACTACTTATACAGTAGAAAGTCTAATATAAAACCATAATAAAGATGAAAATTAACTTCCTTGGGAAAGAAGAGAGAAAAATACTGAGGAGGGTATGGGCGGCCCATGAATTTGAACCCCAGTCTGACCCAGAGTCTGAGCTCTTGCAAGTACTATTCAATGCTTGAGCAGATGGGCCATTCCACACAGAGAACACAGCTCGAACAAATGCTGAGAGCTGGAAAAGGAGCCTGGCATGTTCAGTAGTTAGTCTGAGAGAGAACATGGGGAGGTGGGGAGGGACCTGGGCTGATGGTGGACACGGGGCTCAACCTAGATGGCCATTGTTTTCAAGGTAAGGGTTTGGAGCAGGAGATGAGCATGGTCTGACTTATGTTGCAGAAGGATCCCCTTACTGGCAACGGCAAAATCAGAAACTGGGTATATTTTCATATCATGCACAGCATGAAATGTTACGCAGCCATAAAAAAAAAAAAAAAAAAGAAAAAAGAAAAGATANGTGGATTTGTGACCTCTGGCAGTTTTTTAACCTTTCCAAGTTTTCTTTAGTGATCTTTAAAATAAATGCACATAATATCTACAGTGTAGGGCTTTACATAAAAAAAAAAAAAAAAAAAGACCAAAGTAAAGATACACCACTTAATTCTCAGGCCTTTCACAAGGTGAGAAAGCAAGACAGAGATTATAATAATGTAATCATTTATGTAAAACAAACGACGACCCCACCATAAAAACTTCCTTTACTTATGTACGTGTGCATGAATATATATGTCAAAATATGCACGTACAGAAAAGCACAGAAAGATGCACGCCTTACTGAATGGGCTCTGCTACGGCTGGTGGAAGAAGAGACAGCTAAGAAAAAGGTAAAGAAAATTAGGCTGCATTAAAGAAAGGAAAGAATCCCATATATATAATATGAAATTTTCTATATGGCTAGACATCTTTGAAGATCTACAAAAAATACTCTTGTTTACAAGGTAAAAATCAGAGAATGGACTCTAGAGGTTCTGGATGGAATCTGGTGAAAGAGAGAAAGGGAATCAGGGGGACGAGCTAAGAAGCTGCTGTAAGGGTGCTTTAAGTTGCCCATCAACTAATGAATAGATCAACACAATGTGACATATCCATACAACAGAACGTTACTCAGCTAGAGAGGAAGGAGCTGAGCAGAGATGCATGCTACAACGCGGATGAGCCTTGAGGGCCTTATACTAAATGAAAGAAGCCAGTTACAACAGACCACGCATTACCTGACTCCATTCATATAAAATGTCAAGAACAGAAAGTCTACATACAGAAGGTACAGTGGTGATTGCTTAGGGCTGGTGGAAGGGATGGAGATTGGGGGGACCGGCGGGGGGCGGTAGCCAAAATTTTGGACGGGGGTTTCTTTTTGAGGGACAATAATGTTCTAAAAATGGCTGTGGCGATGGTCGTACATATCCGTGAATATACCAAAACAAACAAAAAACCACTGAATTATACACTTTAAAAGAGTCAAATGCATAGTAGGTAAATTATATCTCAATAAAGCTGCTTTTTTTGTTTTTTGGGGGGTGTGTGTGGTGTTTTTGCGTGTGTTTTTTGTTTTACAAGAAAGTATTTTAAAAGTCAGACAGACATAGAGGCATTTAAAATGGACAAGAAGAGATGGATGAAAGAGAAAGTCTGCATCCTGGAGACAGGATTAAATATATTTAGTTTCAGGTAATTTAATTCTACAAAAAAATTAGAAAAACCTTTTTTCCCCTACCACCTGAAAAAATTAAGACTTCAGAATGGCTAGACAAAACAAATAGAGCATGCTAAGCCCT